CATGTAAAAAGAAAAAAAAAGCATCTTAAGCACACAGAATAACATAAGTGGACTTTGAACGAATAATTGCCGCTTTTAACGATTACGTAATTGTGGCATCAATAATTGTAATCGCGATTAGAAATTTTATTAATTGTGCAGCCCTAAGTAGAAATACTATTATGTAATTGGAACTTTTATTATAAAAGCTTCATTAAGTGTAATTTAAGCAGTTGTATAGCCTACAAAACCAGTCAGTTTTAACCTTCAATAGTATAGTAATGTTGTACCAAGTGACTCTTGTATATTTTACAGCATTAGTTAAGAGATTTTTTTTCTCCTTGAGAAAATTTTGCATGTATACAAGATATATATCCAAAATAATCAATACTGAATCGAATCGAATCAAAATCTTGTGAATGAGAATCAAATCGTGAAATTTGTGTCAAAACCCAGCCCTACTGAATATGTGTGTGGGCATTTATTTATATATATTTATTAAATTTATTGATTTATGTATCAATAAATAATGATTGTTTTATTTTATGATTATTTTGACATAACTGGACACTCCACATTAAAATGACAATGCTTATGGCAGCTTTGCTAAATAACTACTGTACTCTGCAGGACGTCTTATCACATAATGACAAAACATTTGAAAACTTTTTAATAATGAATATGTATAAAAAAACAACAACAAAAAAAACAGTGAGACAATCCAAAAACCAAAGAGGTATATCTGACACATACATTGATTTGCATGCTGCAAAAGAAAAAAAAATAGATTTTAAAAATGGCATAAAAAAAGCAATAGTAGTGTAAATCAAAACACTTTCACAACTATGCAGCCAAATGATTAGCATGAAAACTTCTAGAACATGTACGCTTATAGTTTTTCATGGTGTTCTTTGAGTCTGATGTGAGTAAAGCTGTACTCATTTTCTGCCTCTCCCTCAGCACTTTACGAGCAGGGGAAAAGGTCCAATAAAAACCACACCTCATCATGGAGAAAGAGCTCAGATAACTAAACTGCCTGCTCACCGGACATGTTTTCCATACAGAAAAAGACACAATGCTCTCGCTGCTCACAACTTTTAAGACTTTGTGTAGAGTGTAAAACTTCTTCTGAAAGGATAAGGCACACGAACGAGGGGTAAACAGACCTGAAAAACGTCTGGCAGATGGTGACGGCTTTCAAGATGATTCATCAACACCAGTTTCAAAGCTTCACAACAAACCTGGGCTCCAACACGGCGAAACAAATCCAGTTTCTAGTTAAAACATTCAACATTAACCCTCACAAATGAATTTAAACTGATGTTTGAGAATTCCAATGAGCCCGGTCATACTATGCAAACTTTTTTCCCCTCTCTCATCATATTTTGACAAATTTCCATCTGCAGGACTCCAAAAAGTCATACGAAAAGGCAAAAACCAACGCTTTTTATACTTAATAATGTTTCCAAAGTATCTCTTCAATATCAAACACACTTAAGTGCTAAAATAAGTCTAATTCAGAATGTAAAAGGGTCCAACATAACCTTGATCTGAAGACATAAGCAGGTGTAAATTAAACATTAATGTGCTCAAAAGAGCAGCTCTCTTCTCCATAAATGCTTAAATGATGTGTGCCGGGCCATTCATTGTGTTGCATGCTGCTTTAAGTCACACTTCTCTGTGGTACTGAGAATGAAAAACCACAGTTGTCAGTTATCGACTGTTCAATTCAATAACGTTTGATCACACGACATGGCCGTGCCGCTATGCTGCGAGTACAACAGTCACTAACCCAACAAGTTAAAGAGCTATAAATTAACCATGCTGTGCGTGTGAGAAGCCACACAGAACAGGAACCAATGGCGAATGTGAGGGAGGCAGATGTCAGCTTGCAATTTACACTCTTATGATTGATGGCTGTACTGTGTGAAAGCAAGTGGGTGACCTACATGAACCACCCTTAAAGGGAGTTCACCAAAAAAATAAAATAATTAAAGCTGTCATCATTTAGAAAGCCTCATGTCAGTCCAAACTCAATTTCTGTCTAACACAGAAAAGTTGTGACAGATATTAATATTGCTCACCTCCATACAATGGGGCCACCAGGGGCTATCAAACCAAAAATGACAAAACAACACAGTAAAAGCATAATGAAAGTAGTCAATTCGGATCATGCAGCGTATTCCTAGTAGGGGTGTGCGATATATATTGTCTGCGATAATAGCGTAATTGTTGTTTTAACGATGTGCGATTTGACATTATCAAGTATTTTGCAAAGACCATTCAAAACATCCCTACAAAGCGCACGCATACATTACGTGAAGTCTAGACTAGTGCGTGTGCGCATTTAGTGTGTTTTCTTTCAATGCATGATTCAGTCTATTAAAAGGGTCATATGATGCGATTTCAATTTTTCCTTTCTCTTTGGAGTGTTACAAGCTGTTGGTGCATAAAGAAGATCTGTAAATTTGCAAAGACTAAAGTCTCAAATCCAAAGAGATATTCTTTATAAAAGTTAAGAGTCAGCCACACCTACCTAAAACGGCTCGTTCTAACACGCCCCCACATATCTACCTCACTATGTGGGAAGATTTGCATAACGCCGCCCAAATGTTCACGCAAAGAAAGAAGGCGTAACTTTTATTCTCGCTGTAGTATTGTTGCCGCTGCCGCCATGTCCAGAAGACGCTGTGTGTTTGTTGTGAAAGCGAAACTACTTTGTTTGGTCTTCCAAAAGAGGACGATATCTGCTTCGTCATGTCTGGAGCTGATCCGTGCGGGTCAGTGAGGAAATACATCAACTTAGTGCTGTGGATCGCCGGATCGGCTTTCACCGTTTTCACCGCTCCTTCGCCGGGCTCGCCGTTCTCGCCCCCGCCGCCTCAGCTCACTCTTGCCCGGCTTCAGCTCACGCTAAGCCGGGGCTTTCGCTCACGCTAGGCTGCTGTGTTTTTCGTTGTGAAAGCGAAACTACTTTGTTTGGTCTTCCAAAAGAGGACGATGTCCGCTTCGTCATGCCTAGAGCTGATCTGTGCTGGTCGCTGAGGGAATACATCAATTTAGTGCTGTGGATCGCCGGCACATTTTATGGAGGACTGTTTACTTATCCTGGGAGAATAACGTTAGACTAAAATGCCGGCAGTTCTGACTCAACGCAAGTACGTTTTCTTTTATCATTTGCCACTGATGATTCAAACGCGAGTTGACTTGAGCTTTGTTTGAAATCTGCGCTTCAACCACCCGAGTATTTTAGTGCGGTGTAGCTCAGTTTTTAACTTTGTAAATATTACAAAGATTATCACTTGAGACTGAACGTATTTATTAAAAAAAGAACATAACTGGTTTAAGTTCTCATTACAAGTGAATTATAGTCACAAAACACAAGTAAAACCTTTATATGTTGTGCTTTAAACCATATGACCAGCTTGACCGCTGAAGCCAACAATCAACTCGCCACGTCAATTAGAAACGCGCACACTTTAATCGCGTCAAGTCTGTGAAGACGCCTCATATTGCGGATAAGAGCACACAGCAGTAGGCATGGGCGATACCACTTATTTTGTTTTTGATACGATACCGATATTTTTCAAGGCAGTATCGTCGATATCGATACCGATACGATACTTCTGAATTAAACTTTTAAATGATGAAATGTATTAAATTACTAAGAGTAAAATGGGTAATGATAACCACTTAACTTTGTTTAAAACACATTTTAACATTCAATACGCCTTAATTGTAATTTATTAGGTTATATTTTTATTTACACATGGTTCAAATGTGTTTTTTGTTTACACATGATTCAAATCTACAAATACTACAGTTGAACTATGGTCACTTTAGTAAAACCATGGTTCATTATCATAAGGGACTGCCAGTGACCGGCTGTTGCATCCATAAAATGCAACCTTTTTGTTCTGACAGTGTATGATTTCTATTGACATTACAGAATAGAACATGATCAATATTATCTTTCAACGTTCAATTTAAATAAATGCAATTTTCCAAACTATGTAGGCTACGGTTTCAATTTGTTTATTGTGAAATAACTCAAACATATGTTTTTTTTTTCTGTCCTCTGATAAGCATTGTTCAGGGCTGCTGTTCCCAAAAGCTTTAATGCTTTCTTATGATACTTTTGGGAAAAGCAGCCCTGTTTGAATGCACTGTCAGAAGTGAGTGCGCGCTCTTTGTGATGGATTGGTTCTGTCTTGCGACATTTGCGTGTGTTCAGATGAGCAGGAAAATTGTTCTATCCTACACAATTACTTGCGAACAAAGGTTATTCGTCCAAATCAATATTTTAAATAAACAAAATCACTGGTAAATAAAACACACCTTAGTATCGATATTTTTAGTTTGAGTATCGATACTTTCGATACTCGCGTCAGTATCGATATATCGACCCTTCAGCTCGATATATCGACACTTCAGCTCGATATATCGACACTTCAGCTCGATATATCGACACTTCAGCTCGATATATCGACACTTCAGCTCGATACGCCCATCCATGCACAGCAGGTAACCAATAGGAACGAGACAAAGTTAAGTAATGCAATCAGGAACTTTGTTTGTTAGCGCAATCATTATATAAGCGACAAACGTGTGCGTGTGATATACGTTACTGTAAGGTAACTTACACAATCCCAAAACCTGTTAACGAAAAGTATGCTGTTTATCTAATCATTTTCACCGCTGGTGGTCTATAAGAATAACACGATAGCTATATCTGAATGTTCATTGTAGTAGTAGTAATAATAATAATAATAATAATAATAATAATAATAATAATAATAATAATAATAATAATAATAATAATAAACATGCTTGAGCAACATGTGATCCATTATCTCCGGTCCAAAATAGCAAACTCTCTCGATTCATTCGCTTTACTTGAGAACAGCAATCAACTTTAGTTACGTTCGCCGTCTCGACGCAAAGTTCACAAGTTCATTCAAATGTCATGGTATAAATCATTGCAAATATGAAAATGATGACACGCAAATCCCACAACCTACCAAATAAAAAATGAGTGAAATCCCCGGTTTATTCCTTCCAGTCGCTCACTAAATGATATTTAGACAGACTTAAAGAAGTCCCAGATCTACATGTGCTCTTATTATTTCAGTTATTTTGCCTTTAATGTAAATAAACATGTGCAAACAATATACTTGCTCTTGTAAATTTATTTTGATGTTAATTATGTTGTGCGAACTGTCTCTTTAATACCGCGTGGTTTATATACATGTTGCTGCTGATTTGGTTGACATTTTTGACACACCCACCAAGCAAGAGAAAACGTATCTCAAACCCCGTTGCACACCGTTTCCAGGAAACATGTCATTCAACCCGGAAACCGTAGCAAAACGGTGCACACCGGTTTGAGCTTGAACTTGCCCCTGCTGAGTGTGGCAGATATGGGAGACATACAAAATATGCAGTGGGTCCCCAGGACCAGGATTGATAACCACTGGTTTAGGGTTTTTTTGTTTGTTTGTTTGTTTGTTTGTAAATCTGTAACTGTGAAAGCCACGTCACTATTGATTTTACTACATGTTAAAAAAAAATTACTGTTTTTTTTTATTTTTTTTACAGAACACATAAATGTGACCAGGTATGTTCAGTTACTTCTACCCTGTTCTCGACCAAGTAAGTAACACATATATTTAATTTATGATCCATATTGCTGGAGTTTTCAGCTATTATTATTATTATTATTATTATTATTATTATTATTATTATGCATAAGCATGCTCAGTCACAAAAAAGTAAAGCTTCCCATCAATTATTTTTATATTCTTTTTTTCTTTTTTGTAATCACTTTTTTATTGTGAAGGACTCATATACTCCATTGGCTATTTTTGGCATTCATAAACATAATTGTTTTTCTAATAATTGTCACATTCTACAACCTCATCATATGTTGGGAGAAACTGCGACTCAATTACAATGATGGACATACAGTAAGACTTCACACGATTGTGAAGATATTTCACTCTTATCTTTTTTATTTCTTTATGTATTTATTCATGTTGAATGCCAGTTATCATTTAATAAAATGACAGATTTTTTTGTAATGCTTTTGTTATAAGGATTTCTGAAGAATCATGTGACATTGAAGACTGGCGCAATGGCTGATGAAAGTTCAGCTGTGCCATCAGAGGAATAAACTTTAAGATATATTAAAATAGAAAACAGTTATTTATAATAATATTTCATAATATTACTGTTATAGCTTAAAACTTGTTAGAACACTGTCTTTTTTGCTACAAGTAACCATGTCAATAAAAAAAGCATTAAGGACTATTGTTTTAAACTGTAAACCCATAATAGATACTACAAGATATTATAAAACTAGACAGAAATAGAGGTAAAATATTAATATTAATAAATAATATAAAAATAAAGTTATTTTTAACACTATTAAGGTTCTATATAGCACTCCAAAGCATGGTTCTTTATAGAACCTTATAAAAAAATGGTTCTATTTATCACCAAAAAGGTTTCTGCTATTATTACAAGCTGAAAAAAAACCGGTAAATCTGGTACTGTTTAGAACCATTTTTATTAAGAGTGTACCTTTTAATTGCATACAAATTTAAAAGACTCAATGACTTATGGCATCTACTAGCAATGTAAATTACTTAAGTTTTTAATGAATTGTTATTTTCTTTAAATAATTTCTATGGTACAGCATATATTCATAAGTTTTATTCTGTTCTTTCTGTATATTTGTGATTATCATTTTACCTTAATGTAAATTTAGCAAAAAAGAATGCAGCCAATTGAAGATGCTGCCAATATGGTGATCCTGCATCCAAATCCTGACCCCTAAAAATCCTTTCACAAAATATATCTCTGAGTATGAGTGAGTTCTCCCGAGGCCATTTAGTGAATCTCTGTGGCCACGATCCAATCAGAGTCATTAACCTGATGTTCCAGATGAGCAGAGACAAGAATGATAAGAATATCATCCCATTATTGAGTCCATTAAGAGAGCCAGAGGAGGGAGAAGATCCATGCCGTCTGCAGTCAGATTTCATTCACCACCAGCGCACAGAGATAATTAGTCGACAGACGAGACAAACCACTCATACACACACACTCACAGAGCTTCAGCTCATTATCTTGGATGACTTTGACTGTTAAGTAGCTGCTCCCTTGTGTTTTCTTTGTTGACCAATATGCCATTACATCAAAATTGATCTTTGCCTTTAAGGTTACATAAAGCCAAAACCAAAGCCATTAAGCAAACTGCTGTATATATATATATATATATATATATGAAGAGTTCCAATGCAAAGGCCTCTAAAAGCCATCTTGGTCAAAAATGAGATAACGATACTGAGTGACTGCTCTCCACACATTGATATAGTATATGTTCATCAAGTATGGCCACAGCCATATCACCCTGCAGCCCAAGACTGGTTGCCCACTGAAGCTAAGCAGGGTTGAGCCTGGTCAGTACCTGGATGGGAGATCTCCTGGGAAAACTAGGTTGCTGTTGGAAGAGGTGTTAGTGAGGCCAGCAGGGGGTGCTCACCCTGTGGTCTGTGTGGTTCCTAACGCCCCAGTATAGTGACGGGGACACTATATTGTAAAAAGCACCATCTTTCGGATGAAACAGAGGTCTTGACTTGTCAATCATGACCTCCTAATCCAAGTGGATGCTGCACACTGGTGGTGGTTGAGGAGAGACCCCCCATATGATTGCAAAAGCGCTTTGGGTGTACAATAAAGCACTATATAAATGCATCATTCATTTATTCATTCATTCATACTTTCACTTCAAATGCGCTAAATCCCAGCCTCAACCCATTCAGAAGTACCAGTGCTTACATAGAAACCTATAGTAGCCAGAAAGAAATGCTAATTTTAAAGAAAAACGTCAGACGTACTTAGAGGCTTTCGCATCTGTACTATATATATATATATATATATATATATATAGTGCCCACAACTAGTCTATATTTTATTGTAAATTCCTGTAAATAATAGCTTATTGGGTTGTAGGGTTCCGATGCAAGTTATGTTCTTATAATTTTGTATTTTCTTTTTCTTTTCTTTTGATGAGGTTAGATAGAGGGATGGCTGAGATTGGGGTTTTGGTTATTGCTTTGGCCTTGTCGGAATGTGAAGTTTTCGCAAACTTTTCTTTCTATTATTTTTATTGTAAGAAACTCTCACAAACGAAACCTATGTCTAAGAATAGTTTCTGTACGGCCCCTAGACGGGCCGTAACAATTATTGTCCTGATGGAAGATCCAACCACGGCCCATTATAAGATTTCTAACAGAGGCAGTAAGGTCAGATTTTTTATCTGTAGATATTTGATAGAATCCATGATGCCAAAATGTCCAGGACCTCCGGCAGAAAAACAGGCCCACAACATTAAAGATCCAACGGTATATTTAACCGTGAGCATGGGGTACTTTTTATCCCTGTTTGTACTAAACCCATCTGGTATGTTTGCTGCCAAAAAGCTCTGTTGAGTTTCATCTGTTTCAAAAGTTTCATCTGACCATAGAAGCCAGTGCCATTTGAAGTCCCAGTCGTGTCTGACAACTGAATATGCTGGAGTTAGTTTTTGGATGAGCAAGGAGAATTTCTCTCGAAACCCTTACGAAAAACATGTGGTGTTGTAGGGGCTGTTTGATTTTTTTTTGGCTTTCTGACCCCAAGACTCAACTTATCTCTGCAATTCTCCAGCTGTGATCCTTGGAGAGTCTTTGGCCACTCAAACTCTCCTCCTCACCGTGCATTAGGACGCTATAGACACACGTCCTCGTCCAGGCAGATTCGTAACATCTTTAGTTGATTGGAACTTCTTAATTATTGCCCTGATGGTGGAAATGGGGATTTTCAATGCTTTAGCTCTTTTCTTACGGCCACTTTCTATTTTGTGAAGCTCAACGATCTTGTTCTGCACATCAGAACTATATTCTTTGGTTTAATTCCTTGTGATGGATGATTAAGGGAATTTGGCCGTTGTGTTCCTCATATTTATAATCCTGTGGAACAGGAAGTCATGGCTGAACAATTTCACGCTCCTAGTCACCCTGGTGTAGGGATATGGTGTGTTTGCTGTCAAAAAGCTCTGTTGAGTTTCATCTGTTTCAAAAGTTTCATCTGACCATAGAAGCCAGTGCCATTTGAAGTTCCAGTCGCCCTGATGGTGGAAATGGGGATTTTCAATGCTTTAGCTCTTTTCTTACGGCCACTTTCTATTTTGTGAAGCTCAACGATCTTGTTCTGCACATCAGAACTATATTCTTTGGTTTAACTCCTTGTGATGGATGATTAAGGGAATTTGGCCGTTGTGTTCCTCATATTTATAATCCTGTGGAACAGGAAGTCATGGCTGAACAATTTCACGCTCCTAGTCACCCTGGTGTGCTAAAACAATTTTAAATATGAATGGGAATATATTTCAGAAATATTTTACTCATAAGAATTTCTATGGCACCAATAATTGTGGTCAACATACATTAATTTAAAAACATTTATTTCATCATGAGATTTTACAATTGTTTTACTTCAATGAAAGGTTAACATTTTTGTAAATTTTTTGAATGAAAGATCGAAAAGATAAATGATGCATATATATATATATATATACACAGTGGGGAAAAAAAGTATTTAGTCAGCCACCAATTGTGCAAGTTCTCCCACTTAAAAAGATGAGCGAGTATTTAAAAACATTTATTTCATCATGAGATTTTACAATTGTTTTACTTCAATGAAAGGTTAACATTTTTGTAAATTTTTTGAATGAAAGATCGAAAAGATAAATGATGCATACATATATATATATATATGGAAGTTTGGAATGAATACATAAATACTTTTTTAAAAATGAAGTCTCTTGTGTTCTCTAAGGCTGCCTTTATCAAAATATTTTAAATATTATTAAAACGTAAAAAAAAGCACTGTTCTATTTGGATGTATTTAACATTTATTCCTGTAATACAAAGCTGAATTTTCAGCATCATTACTCCAGTCTTCAGTGTCACATGATCATTCAGAAATCATTCTAATATGCTGAATTGCTGCTCAAGGAACATT